GATGACTGCATTTTAAGAATTGGTACATACTTTAATTAAGCAATATCGCATGAGCAAGAGTGTGGTTATACCGAATATTGGCATGGCTATGATTTGCCGCAGGCACAAGCCCGCAGGGCAAGTGCCGTAGGTAAGCAGTATTCAGTATACCCGCATCATTCCGAGTGCGATAAGCAGTATTCAGTATACCCGCATCATTCCGAGTGCGATAAGCAGTATTCAGTATACCCGCATCATTCCGAGTGCGATAAGCAGTATTCAGTATACCCGCATCATTCCGAGTGCGATATTGCTTTTATACAACAGTTCTAGAAACAAGAATTTTGGACACAATATGGACAAATGTTCTGTTTATTTCTGCTCCGCTAGTGGAAATAGATCACAAAGAAGCTACATTCACTTTATAGCACATCGGCTAGCTGGCTAGCTAGCTCACAATGATTTGTACATTCTCGTTAAAGGTGCTTCCAGTAAAACTGGTGTCCCTTCTTCCTTTTCATCTTCAAATGACTAGCTTTCATATTTTAAGGCAAAAGGTACATTCGTGAAAAGTATCGTTTGCCATGTCCACTAACACATGTCGCTAACACTACTATAGTAACCGTTTCGAACTAGAAAGTGGAATTTTATGTGGTGAACACAGACGAGCGGAGTGATACACACAGTGAAACGTCCCAGTGCAGTTATAGGAAATATAAGCACTCTCGGAACACCACTCGACCAATCAAATTAGTGGACTGGAACTAACTGTTGTATAATAGTGTATGATACACAGATTTATTACACATCGATTTATTTACTTTCATTATTAACAGTGTAGCCAAAAAAAGCAATGAAGCTGGAAATGGAATTTGTAGCCTGTGTGTGGCTGTTAACTGAAGTGGGGCTTGATGCATTCTTTGCTGAACAAATGAAACAGCCTAAAAATAGTGACATTATGAAACAGTTTTTGCTTTAACTATGGAAAAGATGACTAGTTGATTAATTTTTTTGAATTACTGGTCTACTAATAAAAATTAGTTGTCATGCAACCCCTATTCCAGACACTGCACCTCAGACTGGTACCGGGTCGTAGCTCATTTGTTACTGGCCCACAGCAGTTTTTCCCTCAGTGGCAGTGAGAGAATTAGGCTACCCATGAGGGAGAGGGAAAAACTGCCATTTAATATGAGGCAGTAAAATAAAACTGTATCGAGAAACAAGCTTTTTGGACAACACACACACACACAAATCCTTGCTCACTCACTATTTCATATACACACACATTAGCTGTATATTAAACTGCATCGCAGTGCGTAGACCATCACAGTCAGTGCAGCCCGCAAAGGTCATAAATGTTTGAGCCAAGATCAAGACTTTGAAGGGGTAATAAGCACAGACATACATATAAACTCCATTCACCTTCCAAACAACACCTTGTGTGTTGAAGGTGTTGTTTGGAAGGTGAATGACATGAAGGAAGATACACAACCACAACTGTACAAACAACTTATTTTTTGCTAACTAGCTGCTACTGTAAGGCGATTTGTCCTGCCCAGTTTGTTTACAGGGTGGGACAAATGTGTTCTAGAGAGCACTTAATTGGACACAAATTCAATGAGTACAGGAAGAATCATCAAACAAATTGCAGTTGTCTATACACTAACATTAAAATAAGAATTTTGTCTTTTTTTTTTTTTTTTAAATATATACTGGTTTATCTGTGACTACAGGGCCAAGAGACTCTGAAACAGCAATTTTGATTTCATTTTTAGCAATCTTGGCCCTTTTGTAATATGAAAGGTGTTAGAACACTTGGTAATTGGATAAACATTAGATCATGTGATTTATTATCTAATCTTATTAGAATACAGTAGGCTTCCTTTGTCTTTAAACTGAACTTTAATGTTAATGGCCTAGGTCTTACACGCACAATCACACACTCACACATACACACCGGAATTTGGAGCTAGAGTGAGGGTCACAATAATTAACTTCATAATCAGCCTCCCTTTCTCTGTTATCTTTCAGTAATTACTTTGTGCTAATCAGGATTTATAGTGATTAATTGGTGCACAGTGCCATATTGATATATGATTAATGTGAATAAACAACCTAATGAGCTGCATCTTTAGAAAAAAAATACTCCGCTAAATGAATCTTTTATCTGCTAGCTTCCGGTCCATATTTTGAATCAGGTTTCTGTGATATTGGGTATCAAATGAAGCAGTGAACAAGGTATAATATCTCTATTGTCCTCATTTGACTATCGTCATTGTGGAACACCAATTGAATAGATTACATTGTTTTATGAGTTCAGAGAGAATGATAATTGGTTTTTGCCAAACCTGGCAAAGAATTTGATTTTTCTTTAACTTTATTAGCGTCAGATATAATATTGTAGTTAAATTAATGTAGGTGAATTGGTAAATGTAAATGATAAGTGATATAATTATATGATTAGGTATTTGGCACCTCTCAATGTTTTTTTTTTTTTCGTTTTACAATATGGCACTGTTAATACACAACTGGTCACATCTATATTCTTATGCACTCTGAAAATCTATCATGTTAGCTCAGAACTTTAAAATACTTGACCAAAACCTTTCAGAGCTGAAATATTTATTCCACTGTGTTGACCACAGTGCCTCATTAGATGTGATATCGCTGTTATTTTATCAGAGGTACAACATTGCTAACAAGAAAATCCATCAAACAACAGTAAGAAAACAGCGAGGCAAAAGACCAGTGTGATGCTACTTAAGAAATTAGCAGCTTCTCCATTTTTTTTACCAACCCATTAGAACAGTTTTCTTGTTTTCTACTGGTTACAAGACCAAGGCTCATGAATTCACAGGTCAAAGTTCAATCAGATAAAGTTGGCATTGAGCAAAAGTAACAGCTCGCAGAAATAAATGCATCCTTTTACGTCTCATGTCCTTTTCCCTTTCAGTGAATTGGCTTTTCTGCTGGGTGAGTTTTATTCTTGTTTGGTTTGATTGCTGCTTTAGCTGAAAAACCCAAAAAGTATAGTTTTCAGGTGTCTCTGGTATTGCTGTAGCAAGTGGTCACTCATGCTCTCACTCACAGTAACTACGCAGTAGATCCCTAGCCTATCCAGGGAACACTGGGTGTAAGGTGGGAATACACCATAGATATAATACTGGGATATACTGGGAATACTACCACATTCAATCCAAGCAGGTTTTGGTAGATGGGAGGAAACTGGAGAAACCCCAGGAAACCCATGCAGACACAGAAAGAACATGTGATCAGCAGTGAACTGGAAACAGAAGATATGAATAGGAGTACACTTTTTTTTTTAAAGAAAAAATGACAGAAAGGTTGACAAGAAATCTGTCTGAAACTAGAATTATGCATCTGGGGGAAAAAGTCACACGAGTGGTAGATTTTTACTTCCATGCAGACATGAGCAAGCGATCAGACATGAAGCTCACTGGGCAAACAAAGACAATGTTGTACAATACATTTACAGCATTTATTTATGACATGGTAAAATATTTAAATACAAATACTGATAGGAATCTTTGGAGCACTAGGAGATATAGATACAGACAGTGGCACTGTGTTATAACAGCTCCAGTGTGACATCATGTTGGACACCAAACATGGCTACTGTACTTTCCAAGCTGCTGTTAAAGCTGTGGAATAATGAGTGAAGTGAAGTGAAGTGAAGTGTAGTGTAGCCAAGTATGGTGACCCATACTCGGAATTTGTGCTCTGCATTTAACCCATCCAAGTGCGCACACAATCTGTATTGACATCACATAGACGTTGCCTCCAGATCACAAGTAGAAAGAGGACCACTTGTGTCAGACTGAACATATTAAAACATTTCTATTTTGCTTTAAGACCATGAGTTCAGGCCTCGGACAGAGTTATTCAGTCTGAGTTGATTGGATCTTGCAGAAATTTGAGCAGGAGGTTAAAGGTCTAAAAGATTGACAAAAGTTTGTTACTAAAATAATGCAACTCTTGAGAAAGGTTTCTATGAAAACCTACAGTTATACTTATGACAATGATTAGGGTGGTTAGCTTAAAGAAAAAACACCTTCAAAATGACAAAAAGGGAATTCCTTATTCTACTGAAATGAAGAACCACATAGCAACCAAGTAACATTATGCTGTGAGAAATAAAGACTAAACCATGGTGAGACCAAACAAACCAACTTTAAACCAATTTAGGAAACGTGCCACAACCATTTAACCAACAAAACCACGTTCCATCAACAAACAGCTGTGTTGACTTGACGACCTTCGAAGAAAATGACTATGGCCTGCTGTCTTGTCTCTAGGGACGGGGAAGGAGAAATAAAGCCTCAGTTTGAAACTAAGGCACTGGGACATCTTTAATTGTATTACTGCACTAGTCTATGTGTGGTAGGGCTTTCAGGGAAAGCAGTTTATGGTCCCGCGTCACACAAGACGTAAAAGATGTCCTAGGAAGGAGCTGGTGATTTCTCCTGCCACTACAAAGCTGAGCAGAGCATCTACAATATATTGATAGACATTCAAGACAAGTATTGAAAATACTTAGTACTAGAAACTGGCAATTAAAAGAATGCCAAGTTTTATTTTCTTGTCACTTGCTCTCAAGTTCACAGTGTGAAACAACATTCATGACACATCAACTCACTCCAGTTCAATGCTTTCTTCAAACAATTAATGTCATGCATAGCCTTCTATGCAGAATAGGCATGAAGTCTGCACAAAGAAGCAATTTAAATAATTTTTAGTTTTCCAAACACTTTGTCTTTTACCAAAATCAATGTCTAAACTTGAGAACTTAGAGATGAAAATCATTAGATCATTTCTTTTAAACTCTTACTTTTTTATTTACATATTCTTGAATTTGTAAAAATTTCTATCTGAGAATCAACTAATGAAGCCTAGCATTAAATTCAGGGACTGACCAAATAATGCAGACTTCACACAATGTGGCAAATTTTGGAATTAATTATTCATTATATTTGTGCTCATTATATGATATTCAGTTTGGGTCCTTGGAGGACTAGTGGTTAGGCCTCTGCAGTCAGGCCTCTGCAGTCCCACCGCTGCAGCCCGGGTTCGATTCCAGGCCAGGAAACCAACCCCAGCCACTGGGGTTACACATGACAGTGTACTCTCAGTGCCAGTCCCAAGCCTGGATAAAATTGGGGACGGTCTTGTCAGAAAGGGAATCCGGCGTAGAAACTGTGCCAAATCAAATATGCAGACCAATGATCCGCTGTGGCGACCCCTAACAGGAGCAACCAAAAGAACAACAACATATGATATTTAGTTTAAAATTCTATACTTCTATACTATACTTCTATATATTCTATAGAAAATTCTGACGCCTGATAGATCTAACACTTTGCATATGAATGTACACCACAGTGTGCCTTTCCACTAGAAGTGTAACAAAGCGACACTGTATTCTGATTTAAAACCAAAGTGGGCGTGGCCTAAACTGGAAAGGTTTTTTCTTTTTTTTTTTAATGAGGTAGAAATAGCAGCACTGTCAGCATGGTGTGTGAATTCTGACAGTTCCTCCCCCACAGGTACATTACTCCAGTTCTTAACTGTTAATTGTTCATCCACATTAACATGTAGATGAACGTGGTCTTTGTTTGTCCCATAAGCTTTGTATCTTACTCATGCCTGCATGAAAGCAAAAACCTCCCAATCATGACTTTTTTAGTTGTCTCCTGCAGGATCCCTGTCACGATGCACACCTCTAGTCTCAGTACTCTCAACCAGATGCCCTTTGAACATTTCTGGCAATTGTTCTAAAAAACAAAACAAACAAAAACCCACAAATAGTGCACTTCCTATTATTTGTTCATTAGGAATAATGCATTTACTTATATTTCTTTACATCCTTACATGTTTAGAGGACTCTCTTTTTTCCATTTTCTTTGAGTCTTGCAAATTGATTTGCCCTGCAATCAAACTTGATGTTCAAATGGTTAACTCCACTTGGATGGCTAATTCTGATGATATAGACTGATGTTTGGGTCAAACTGGACATTGCAGTTTAGTACTGTAGTGATGAAGGTTTCGTACCCCAGTCACCTCTATCATCAATACCAACGCCAACAATCAGGCAAATATGACATGAAAAGCAAACAATGTCAAAATCTGTCCTTGCAGTCTAAACAAGGCTTTTGTCAACTTCTGACCCTGACTTTCAATGGCCTGATCTTCAATCCTCAAGCTGAGCTTCACCTTGGCTTTACAGGATCCAGACGGCAGCACTGATAGGATTGAGTGGAAGCCTCTTCCAATTTCTATGTAATGAAACCAAACGCTTTAGTCATGGAGAATCCCTTTAGCCAACCATGCAAAATGCCCCGGAATAGGCAATCAGATTAAAGTCCTAAAGCAGGACTAAGACCAGGCATCACACAGCCCCACCTTTGCCTTGCAAATTCA